TAGCCTTTTACCTATGGGTCTGGGTCCAGTCACCTCGTACCCTCGCCAGGAGCATGAAGGAGTTAAGCAACGCCAGGGTGTGATTCCACAGAGAAAAAGTTTATTCGGTTACTGCGCAGCAGGTACCAGCGGAATTGCTTCCAAAGTCTGGCACACACATACAGGTCATGCAAAGCCTTTTATACATTGGTTTCTTCGCCCTGTTCAGCCCCCTGAGCCTATCCCATTCATGTGTCCAGCCCCCCACGTACTGACTGTGCTCGTGCCCAAGTCATGTACACCTCATGCTCAAGGCGTGCCCACCGCATGCTCAGGGTGTGCTTATCAGCAGGGAAGCTCGTGACTGTGGTTAGTATTGTGCATGTGAGGAGCGTGATCACCGCCTGGGCTTACTTGGGCCTTGGGCCTGTCTCATCAGGGCTGTTGTGATAAGATAAGAACAGGGCCTCTTTCTCCTTCATTAGAAGGGGGCCTCTTTATCCTTCATTAGAAGGGGGCCTCTTTCTCCTTCATTCCCTCCTCTTCTTTGTGATCACTGACAGGTGCATCAACAGGGACAGGGCGGTATTCCCTCATGTAAGCTATCACACGGGGACCCATCGAGCGGGATATCATCTTTTGCATCATACTTTGCATACATTGCATCAAGCAGGGGATACAGAAGCAAAGAAGCAGCAAAATTAGTTACTAATGCAGGAATGGAGGAGTTGTAACCCCAGTTCCTCCCCTGAAGATACTGTTCAGTGGTTTTCAACCATGCACTAGTGTCAGAGAGATAGCAATGGGAGGTGCTGCCATGGTTGATTAAATTGGAACATGAACTGTTGAACTTGAAATCCATAATACGCAAACAGTTGGGGTAAACTCCCCATGACCTGGATCCTTCAGAGAATTTAAAGCAAATGTGAGCAGGTTCGAAAAGCGTGAGCATTACAGGGGGCCGCTTAATATCATTGGGATTTATCTTATTAGTTATGGAAAAGTTCCTGTCAATAGGTATGCCATGTAGCATTAAGCCGGAATGCCTCGTATGAGGTGGAATGTGCATACATAACCAACAATTTGAAGCCTTCAACAGAGTAGCAAACTTGAACATATCTCTCACATAGATATTCTTTTCCCACAGTTTGTGATAGTCCTCCTTTCTGGAGGTTTTACTCAACAGGGCTGTCCCCCGCCGGACTCCTATGCCTGTATTATCCTCCCCAACAGTCAGACATACAAAGAACAATAAAAGAATCATCAAAGGGATGGAGGAGGGGGGGGCGCTTTTTCCCACAAATCCTCCTTCGTTCATGCCAACAGAAATACAAAATCATCCAAAGAACCAGGACTGTACATATTACTCCTAACCACCACGCCCAAGATGTCCATGGTTCCTCCCACCACATCTCAGTCATGATAAGGGCCTGGTGAGGGGTTTGGCCTGCTTGGGCGTTCGGGTCTGTCTATCAGGAGCGTTTGGGGTGCGTAGAAGTGTCAGTCTCCAGAGTGACACTAGCAGGGCGGTTGTCCTTTGGGCGCCTGGAGATGGTCAGTCGGAGAGGATCTTGAGGGTTAGGTGACACAGTCCAATCTGATGATGCCACCTTCACACGAGTATGGTGGACCCAAGGGGCGATGCCAGCAACCTTCACAGCAGTGGGTGTGGAGAGAAGCACAGTATAGGGTCCCTTCCAACCGGGCTTTAGTAGAGCCTGGGCCCAGTCTTTCACCCACACTTCATCGCCTGGCTCTATCAATATACAAGGGGTTCGAGCCTGGGTCCACCTGTTAAGAGAAAGAAGAGTGCGGGAGAGTGACTGAACATAATTATCCATTTCAACATCCTGGACTGGGATGGGGGAAATCATGCGTACATAGGGAACAGGCCTCCCAAACATCAACTCAAAGGGGGAGAGATGAGTTCGCTTGGATGGGAGACTTCGAACCCGGAGCAGAGCAAGGGGCAACATGGTTACCCAACTAGACCCGGTCTCCTGAGTCAGCTTTGCCAACTGATTTTTCAATATTCTGTTCATGCGCTCTACCTTCCCGGAGCTTTGGGGCCGGTATGCCGTGTGTAGTTTCCAATTTATTTGCAACACCTTTGCCAATTCTTGCAAAACTTTGTGCACAAAAGCTGGGCCATTGTCTGACCCTAATAGCTCTCTTCTTCTCTCATTGCCATGACGCCTGATTGACGGGGTGGAGTCCATGGCGGTCCCTGTCCTCTTCCCCTTCCCTGGTTTCCTGGGATCCATGGTTGGGATCGTGGTGTTGGGCCCTGGTCACCAAGGGGTGCTGGAGGGACATGATTCTGTTCCCTTCGTTGTGCCTGGGGGCATTCCCTTTTCCAGTGCCCTTCCTGGCGACAGATGGCACACTGATTACGGCCCAAACGGCCTCGCCCTCCTCCCCGGGCAGGTTCCCCCGTGCCGCTGTTGCCGGCGCGCAGAGCCATGAGTTTCTTAGCCTGGTAGTTCTCTTTCTTCTTCTGGGCTACCTCATCTCTCTGGTTATACGTGGTTTGTGCCACCTCTAACATCCACTCCAACCCATGGCCCATGAACCCTCCAGAGGGGTATACTGCCGGTAGGCTTCCTTCAGGCGCTCCAAATAAACCCCTGGCGCCTCGTCCGACTTCTGGACCACTTCTGCCACCTTAGCCAAATTAGTGGGTTTCCTAGCTGCCCTTCTCATTCCCGCCAGTACATAGTTCCTATATGTCTGCAGGGTGGTCCGAACATTCCTGATAGTTCCAGGCAGGGGTGGCTCGGGGGTAAGCTGTATCTATTGCGTCCTCAGCCAGACCCTGCTGCCTCAAATGCGCCCTTGCTTCACTGTGGACCCTCCTGACTTCCTCAGTTGATAAGAGGGAATCCAGAAGGTACTGTACATCATCATAAGTGGGATCATAAGTTTTAAAGATCCCTTCAAAAAGTTTAATAATCTTGGCAGGATTCTCCTCAAAGGAGGGATTATGATTACGCCAATTGCAAATATCAGCAGTTGAGAAAGGCACATGCTGGATTGTGTAAGTGCGTGGTGCTGCTGCCCCTCCCTGTCCTGCCGGGCCTGGTGGGTCATAAGCGCGCCGGAGGGGCATCACGGCTGTAGCCAGATCTTTCTTCTCTCTCTCTCTATCATGGTGGGTGGCAGCTCTACGTGCTGCAGCCAGCCACCTCTTTTGTTTTTTCTTCCAGCGCCCATCCTCACAGCGCGCCACCTCTAAAATGTGGGGACTAACATCCACCTGGTCCTTATAGGGGTCTACATAGTCCTTTATCCATTCTTCTTGCTTCTTGCTCCACTTCTGTCCCTTCACTACCTTCTCTTCCAACATCCTTAACATTGTCCCCTCATCCTCTTCATCATTGTCACTTTCGTCCTCCTTATCTGTCTCTGATTTGCTGGGGTCCTTAGTCTCAGGGATTGGGTTGATAAGGCTGCCACCAACTGGGTTCGGGGGGTTATCCTGGGGATTATTCTGTGGGGTGCCCTGGGACGGCCAGCCAGTCCCTTGGGTCGGCCAGTCCACTTCACAGAGGGTCCTAAGCCTCTCCTTCTTCAACTTAAATCCCCAATCGTCATCTTTGGTGGCCAATTTCCAGTTGTTAAGGAAGCATTGCAAAGGGGTGCATTTACTGTTTCCCGACCCCATGTTCACCCAGAATACTCCGCTCCTAATCAAAATCCACACCTTTCTCACTTCAGACACTACAGACTGTGGCTTGGACGAGCTCGCGCTGCCAAGAACTGCACAGACCTCACGCTTGGCCACGGAGACGCTAAGCCCCGGCCTCTCACACATTCATCCTTTCACTGGAGTATTCTCATACAGCACACAACCCACCACCCTTTCACTTCCCTTTCCATACGCTGGCGGCACTCCACGGCCAGCCCTTCTGGCGGCACTCTACTGCCACTGCCAGGTGAGGTTAATTAAGCCTCAAGCCCCTCTCTTTCCCCAGGTGCTTACCTCTACTTCCAGAGTCACCCTTGTGCCCTTCCTCGGCCGTCCTTTTTCTCCCATGACCGGACGTCTCCACTCAGGAACGGTGTGGCTAGTTCCCCCCACGAACTGGTAGGGTGCGCGCTGGAGCCGTCAACGCTGATCCGAGCTGTTCGCCGGTCGTGCCTGGCCTCCAGTCTCCTCTGGCGAGGAGGGCGGATCCCGGACGAGCCCCCAGAAATGTAGCCTTATTTACCTATGGGTCTGGGTCCAGTCACCTCGTACCCTTGCCAGGAGCATGAAGGAGTTAAGCAACGCCAGGGTGTGATTCCACAGAGAAAAAGTTTATTCGGTTACTGCGCAGCAGGTACCAGCGGAATTGCTTCCAAAGTCTGGCACACACATACAGGTCATGCAAAGCCTTTTATACATTGGTTTCTTCGCCCTGTTCAGCCCCCTGAGCCTATCCCATTCATGTGTCCAGCCCCCCACGTACTGACTGTGCTCGTGCCCAAGTCATGTACACCTCATGCTCAGGGCGTGCCCACCGCATGCTCAGGGTGTGCTTATCAGCAGGGAAGCTCGTGACTGTGGTTAGTACTGTGCATGTGAGGAGCGTGATCACCGCCTGGGCTTACTTGGGCCTGTCTCATCAGGGCTGTTGTGATAAGATAAGAACAGGGCCTCTTTCTCCTTCATTAGAAGGGGGCCTCTTTCTCCTTCACTATGATTCTATTTAGAATGGATATGCTCTACTGCTTTATAATAACCCTTCCTCATTCACACAATACTTTCAGTTATGGAAACCATCCCTGAGTCTGGCAGTTATCTGTGAGCCCATAAACTTGGACAGTGAAAGAAAGAAAGAAAGAAAGAAAGAAAGAAAGAAGGAAGGAAGGAAGGAAGGAAGGAAAGAAAACACATTTCTCTGTTCCCACAAAAATATATTTTCTGTTTCTTTTCTTTCCTCTATGGAACCAACAGCTGGAACATCATGTATCCTGCACAGTATTTCTAATACAAAGCATATATTTTATGCATATTAAAATTCTAGCACATGAGTGTATGCAAACACACACATTCATTTCTTCTGGAGATTAGATATATATTACAATCAACATGATTTAAAAGGTTCCAGTCTAAACTGATTATTTTTCCTTTGAAGACAACGGATGTAAAAACTTGATAAAGAAACCTCTTTATCTTCTTTCAGGTGTCTGAGCTACAGAATGGGCAAACTTCCACTACGCTTGTTCGCAAACTACACCATAACTCAGTTTTTCAGATGATCAAATAATTTTTCACAGCATTAACCGAACCCAAACTTCAGGTTGAAAAGTATTTCAGCAGCCTGCATTGGTTTGCAAGCGGAGCCTTTCAAAGCAAGTAAACCCACCTCAGGCAGCTTCAGAGAATTCAGAATGTCTGTGCAGATGACCTCTGCTGTGGCATTTCCAAGCTATTCCATGTGCCCACAAGCCCAAACAAAAAGACAACTCAGTCAAGCAGCTTGAGATACTAGCCTCCTCAATGCAAATCAGTGAACTCCACTTAGTTATTACTGACAAAAGATTACAGGTTCCCCAAACCCTTCAGTTCACCTTTCAAATGGTAAGTTGCTCCACCATTCTCAGTCAAGCTGATAAAATGGTTCAGAAGGCAAAATTAGTAGACATATGTGTAAAATATGATTATAAAAGGCCTTGATGGACACCTTTTTAATTCTTCACCAGAGGAAATGCAATGTTTTAATATATATTTACAATATTAATATATAATATATATTTACAACCCATAGCAGCAGCAAGGAGACACTGCAGCTTGATACTTGAATAGATCTAGGATAGCAGTTCTCCATGAAATTTCTGGTGGAATCCTCTCCGGCCCACTGAGATCCATGGCTGTTGGATTATCCTAAAGCAATGGATGCTTACTTTGACAATTTGTTGTTATTTGAAAGAAAATATTCCTTTGTGTACATAGCCTTGATCTGAATATTAAACTTGTTGCTGTTTCAGTTGCATTTCTGAAGCTGAATCTTTTCTGCAGAAAGAGAGAGAAAGAAAACAACAACAACCCTGCTGAACTATAGTAGCAAACAGCACATAATATACTAAGAACTTGCACAGAGTCTGGACATTAATCTTACAATAGTAGCAAGAATATGAAACAAAGCACTTCTGACCTTCCTTTGGCTCTAAATGAGATAATAAAATGAATCCGTTCACAATATCAAGTGGAATTATTGAGTCAGGAAGGAGTGTTAAATAACAGTCAGCAGCAATCAATTTGAATCTGTTACAAACTGCTATTAATTAGACTGCTATTTGCCCAAGGCAGTTTTAATGAACATTTTGATATGAGATGATGACATTTATTGATAGTTTTGGATTGCCAAAGTGTAGTGTGTGGAACCTTGTCCTTAGCAACAACCGCAGCTAAGTAGGTGGGGCATGTAGCAAAGCATCTATCAGTGTATTAAAGACCTAATATTTCTCCACTGAAAAACCTTTATTGATTCTAGGCCATGTAGAAATTCAACAGAGTGGAGACGAGATGAAATCATGGGAAATCCTGAGAAAAATCTTCATAACCTAGCTGGTTGAATGAGGACTGTGAAACTACAGCCATACTCTCAACTCTATCTTGTTTTGTATCATAGGGGAATAGGAAGATTCCCTATATACCATTGGTCCATCTAGCTTAGCTCAGGAGATGTTGGGGATTGAACCAGCGACTTCTTGCATACTAAGCAAATGCCCTGTCAGTGAGCTACAGTCCTTTTCCAGGTATGCAAGGAACTTAAGGAGAAGTCCGGGAGAATTATGTTGCCCAAGTGGACTGCCAGTGTTCAATGTCATCCAAGATTTATATATTCTACACACTGAAGACACACCACATATTCAGAAAGGCAATCTGAAAGGCCATATGAAGATAAGAAATCTGCTATCATTTCAAGGCATGCGTGTGAGCTGGGTAAGTGAAATGACCGTCTGTCTCCTTATATCTTGGTAAGAAAGGTGGAAGTCAGACCTATCAAGGTTCCTGTTTCTGAGGAAAGTGGCATTAATTTTAAAAGGCAACACATCCACCCAAACAGGCTTTCTCTGGAAATGAAGATGACAGACCAGAGAGGTTATAAATAATCCTTCAGGGTTGGGGATTTTGTACGTAGGTGTATACAAGGCATGATTAATGTTGCAATGCTGACTTCCTGTGTCATATTTACATGTTGGCAATTTACAGCGACTAGATGCCTTTGGTTTGAACTGTGAAGGACTGGAGAATGGCAAGCCTCTTGACAACTGTGGTGGGGGCTGGAGGGAAAGCAATCAAAATTGAAAGGCAGGAAAAAATACAGAATGGCAGGCTAGCAGTCACAGTTAAAATAGGGAAATTGTGATGGTCCCCATTATTGCTCTGCTTTACCATATTATTGGGACCTCTAAGCCCTGATCTTAGGGACGTGGGTGGTGCTGTGGTCTAAATCACTGAGCCCAATATTTCGGCCAATTGGCCTCCATATTGAGCCTTTTCAGAGCTTTCGCTTCCATCGGTGACAGCCACCCTGGGGTTTTGTTTTCCAACAAATCCTTGTATCTTATCCAAACATTAAACAGTGCTTTCCTGACAATATGGTTTTTAAATGCTTTATGCGCTTTGAAATATTGGGAAATTTTGGAACAAGATGGAGATAGACTGAAACTGCAGAGTTTTGAGAAACTAAAAAATAAAGTGCGAGACTGGCTTCATTATTATCAGATAATGGAGGCATATAATTTGGACAAGAAAATTGGCTTCCAGGTGGAAAAATCAAAATTAGAAACAGAACTGTTAGAACTCAAAACTAAGAATTTGTCAAGAATGTATAACTTGCTGTTGAAATGGAATACTCAGGATGAAATGGTGAAATCTGCTATGATTAAATGGGCACAAGATGTTGGACATAATATTATGTTTGCTGACTGGGAACAGTTATGGACCACAGGTATGAAGTTTATGGCATGTAATGTCCTAAGAGAGAATATTATGAAAATGATATACAGGTGGTACATGACCCCAGTCAAGCTTGCAAAAATCTATCATTTGCCCGACAATAAATGCTGGAAATGTAAAGAAACTGAAGGTACATTCTTTCACCTTTGGTGGACGTGCCCAAGGATTAAGGCCTTCTGGGAAATGATATATAATGAACCGAAAAAGGTATTTAAACATACCTTCTTGAAGAAACCAGAGGCCTTTCTCCTAGGCATAGTCGGCCAATTGGTGCCAAAGAAGGACAGAACTTTTTTTATGTATGCCACAACAGCAGCAAGAATACTCATTGCAAAGTATTGGAAGACAGAAGATCTACCCACTCTGGAAGAATGGCAGATGAAGGTGATGGACTATATGGAACTGGCAGAAATGACTGGCAGAATCCGAGACCAGGGAGAAGAGTCGGTGGAAGAAGATTGGAAGAAATTCAAAGATTATCTACAGAAATATTGTAAAATTAATGAATGCTAGAATGATGTTGGATAGTAATTAAGTGGTTTCCAGCTGTAATGCTTTAAGGGAATATGAAAAAGGGTTATAAATAGGTAAAAATTTAATATTATTACTTTTAAAGGATTTGCTGAACCAACAGATTGAAGTGGAATACAAAAAGGGAGGTATGAGGAGGTCCGGGAAATAAGTCAAAGGAAAATAAGTAATGGAAAATCTGT